TTGGAGGATTTTTGTAAAATGTTTTGATTGTAATGTTACATATAAACAACTCTGTAAAATTGAAATTTATTAAAAACCTAGTTTCTCTTTGAAATACTGCACTACTGCATTACTAAGATTTTTTGAAAGCAAGAAAAAAAAAAAAAACCACAACCAACCCCACATTCTGAGAATAATGGGGATATTACAGGTTCCAAATGACCCTGGCTTCTGTTCTGCCATTTGTCCAAAAGCTGTAAGTGAAAGGATTGGAAACACAAAGAATTTAAGGAGGTTTAAAAAAAAAAAAAAGTGTTTAAACTAAACAAAACATAAAACAGGTACCCACCCATCACACGCAATCAGTTTTGTTCCAAGTACTTAATATTATGAGAAGGCTTTGAAAAAAATCACAATTCTCTAAAATGAAACAAATCACCTGTTTCTGATATTACACATCTAAAGGAAAATCACCTATATTTATCATGGTTCAGAACCTTATACTGTACCATAAAAAAGAACAAACACTTTTCCAAGCAGTTAATATCATGTCATCCTGAAGTGGGAAAAGTCTTAAAATAATCACAAGCTGGAGGCTGGCTCTCTTGGAATTTTAATTTTTTTTTCCCTCCAGTTTGTTGAAGTTGAAAGGGTTCTGACAACAGACAAAGCAAAATTCACGGAAAATGCTTGCAACTGGTTTTTTGGGGTGTCCCCCCCCTTTATTCATAGTATATCATTGTCAGTCTTCTAACAATTATTTTTTATCATGTTTAAAGTCAATTATATATCACTATTTTTTTAACTACCTTTATTATAAATTATGGTATGCTGTTGAAAATTCATACCAGGATGAAACGTATTGCTTGAGTGTCACCCCTTTTAACTGTCAGCACCAAAGAAACTATTATTTATAAGCCAGCCAACTTAGGATGAACAGAAATTCAGCTGAAGTGTTTTACAACCAATATACTGAAAATGCAGATTATTTCAATGACTAGTATTAACTGATAGGTATTTTTGCAGGCTATTTAAGAATTGACTGCTATGCATTTAATCGCATTTATAGGGCTGAGTTAAAAACAAAAAAAAACCCACAACAAAAAAACCCACAGACACCACCAAACCAAAAAACCACCACACCACAGAAATAAAATCCCAAAATAATGAACAGAAAACTGGGGGGAAAAAAGCAATCAAAAATATAAAAAATTTTTTCCACAGACTGACCTAAATACCTTTACCCAAAGGTAAAAATATTGGAGATGTGAATTAAAAAAACGGGCCCATCTCATGTTATTTTCAAAGTCATATGAATCAAACCAGTTTAGATTAGCAAAACAGCAGAATCAAAGCCCGTAAGGAATAAACAGGTGTGCTGCAGACTTGTTTCTGTTGAACAAGTAGACATTTTCAGGAGCATGCAAATGTATCAAGCCACCTGCTACTGACCCAGCCTCCTATTCATGGACAGAAAAATAAGGGTAAAAGAAAGAACTAAGCATTTTTTCAAATACCAGCCTTACAAACAGCTGATGTGAGCTGACTGAACTAGAGAGACAAAGAAAACGTCTTCTTTCCCAAGAACAACCCAGTTGGAAAGGTGCTCACAAGACACCAGGCATTAAGCAAAGTGGTATTTCAAGAACAACAATCTGCTTTTCCTGTAGGCTAGGAAAGTGCATTAACCCACGTCTAAAATTTTCAAGAATTTTCCTTGTGGCACACCCACACTACCTCCTGTTTATATGTGAAGAGCACCCAGTAAAATTGTTGTACAGCAACTAAAATTGCCCTCTAAGTCTAGCTGTGAATAACTCTAAGCACATGACAGAAGAAGAATAAGCATGTTTTGGTTTAAAAACAAGCTGTCCTCCTTAAATACAGAGTCTGCCACACAGCAATAGGTCAGAGTCTGGCCTTTCAACATCTTTACAGCTGCTTCTCAGGTCACAAGGGCTTAATCAATACTGACAAAACTCTCAGTCACACACACACACACACACACACCCCCCCCAGCTGGTAAAAGATCTTCAGTGGTTCTCATTTTACCATGCCATTTTTTCCCCTTTAAATTTCATTGAGGTTATTATTCTACAGTGCCTTCCAAATTGCCAAAGTGAAAATATGTCTTGTTTATGGAGGAACGGTGCTGCCAAAAAGCCTACATTTCTTAACTTTCTTTACCCTAAAAATATCTGGGGCCACACCACACGTTAACGTGGAAGAAATTCTAGGTGAAGCTTGCCAAGTTTTTTTTCCCGAGTCATGTTTTGACTTAGCAAACCTCAGCCCCATGGTTCATGGCAACATGCTGCCCGTAAAACCCCCCAGACCTGCTTGTGGCCCCAAGATTTCACAATAATGTCTGTAAGAGCAAAGAATGCTGCCCAAAGCACAGAGCAAGCAAATTCTGGATTCACTCACGAGGTTCTCCCTTGTCACACTCTGGTGACAACAGTACTGTACTAGAGTCCGCTACAACATCACATGAAGTGTAACTAGTTCAACTTTTTTTGTGTGAAGACAGTACACAAAAACTTGGGCAGGGTTTTTAACCACTTCTGCACTTTTCCATGAAATACAATAAACCAACTACTGTTGTGCTAATTCAAGAGATCCTAAACCTTATAATGATGTATGTCTGTAGAAATTATTATAACTCACACCTTTTAATTCTGCTCAGCAGGTAGTGCTAATAACTCAAAAGCAATTTAATAAAATCAAAAAACATATTAAAGTAACAGTCAGTCACAAATACATAAACCTGTAACTCTGCATCATCTGATAAGCAAATGACTTCGTATGTCCTTTCCATTTCTATTTTATTTCTGTGACAAAATTGTACATTTCTTTGCAAAACATTGTACAATCCACACATAGTACCATTTCACATATTAGCATTTTCAAATGTATTCCATGACAGCTCCTTTTACTACATTCATATGCCTATTTTAAAACCTTTCAGTTACTGATTTCACATCAGTAATTTTTCTCCCATCATCTAACTGATGTGTCCAGTGAGATCTAGTAGTTACTGTAAAAAAATACGGCTGCATCAAGCGTGGGTTGACGCTGTTGACTACAGTTTTATATAGTGTTCAAAACCCATTTGAAGTATATTAGCGATAATGCTTATAAAACAGAGAACTTCCTCAGAAGTGCACAAGTTCACTAAGAAACAGGGATAATCAGCAGACCAAATGCCACGTGAGTAGGAGTACGCTGCAGCTGCTGTAATCTCCGCATAGCACTGCACTGGGCCACACATGCACTGGGCCACACACAAGAGGTCAAATGCACCTACCTGTCTTAACATGCGGAGGTTGCCTACCCAGGAGATGCAGGCTATCAAGGGTCCCTTTATCATCAATGGAGAAATTGAAAAGAATCATCTTCTGGACATCTCTGTCTTCGATTTCAGAGACCCTAAACATCTAACTTGAACTAGAAGCTTGACTTCAGCAGACCCACCAAAGAGATTCCCACTTTAAGAGTGCTTAGAATAAATGAGAAATAAAGAACTAGATAAAATCAGAAATACCCCACTAAAGTAAAAGCAAATCCACTATTGTGAACGTTAGAAATTAATTCTAAAATACTCAAAGATAATTTTTCTTCCTTTAAGAGACCTTTTGACTCTTTCATTCCTTTCCTAATTTGTCCACATTATTCCTCCCCCCTGCCGTCCTTTTTGATGGAAGAAAAGGAAACAAAAATTCCTTCCCTCCTACCCTGCCTTTTTCTCCACTAGCATCTATGGCAATCCCTCTGATGCATAACGTTACATCACTGCTTTTTAAACAGCATTCCCAAGTTATTTCATTAGGTATATCTGTACCAAAATTGGTGACATACTAAGACTGAATGTGTTTCAAGTCTTGCATTGGCACTGCAGAATTCTTATTCTGAGTGGCATTATGATTAACTGTGCCAAATCTGTTATCATATTAGCATGCCTGTCAAGCCTCTTTCTTTGAAAATGTTTCTTTTTCTTTGTTTGCTAAGACAAACTTGCAGAGATTAGTCAAATTTAAATACCCAAATTCACAAAGCAATCCCCCATAAGTATACTTAATATAATGGAGTCTCATCAGTAGATTTTCCTGGAACTACACTCAGATTTATTAGTTCCCACACACAGCTATTGTTTAAAAGATCTTAAAAGGGCCCGTTTACTAAAACAAGTGCCAATTGTGTTTTCAGTTGCACTCAAGCTGCCTGCAATATGGTGCAGCCATGCTAAACGAGAACGCCTTTGTCAACTGCAGTTTGAAGTACTGTAAACAAATTGATAGAAAGCACCAGAAGGTTCACACCACAGTGTCAGCATTTCTTCCTCTGACTATGCAACTCTGAATATGCAAGTAAAGCTAACAATATTTTAAAACCAACGGTATCCTATAGCAACAATATAAAAGGTTACCATACATTATCGGTCTATCTTAAGAGTTTTACATCACTCTTCATCACGCTGGTGATGAAGCTGAGCAGCTTCATATAAATAGGGCTAACATCCACTAGTGATCTCAGACAAAGTCTGAATTTCCTTTAATCCTAACTATACTTCAATTAAAAAGTTTTGTCACAGGCTCCTGTGAGGCCAGGATTTCATGTTTTATAGCATCTTCTAAAAGGTGAAAGTACTTTTGAAGTAATCTCAACTTGTGAAATAATCTCAATTTCCAACGTGTTTCACACTCATGACTGTTTCTGCAGAATGCTA